TTCTGCCACTGGCGCCGCATGACGATGGAGAGCGAGTCGATGAAGAAGACCTCAACGATCTCGATGACGCAGACGACAGAGCAGCTCATCCAGAGGCCCAGCTGGCCACCAAAGTTGGACAGGAGAATCACGAGCTGGAAGAGCAGAGAGCGCAAGGTTACTGGCTGTGGTGGGAGCGTGTGTGGTGCTGTTACAGTGTGCAGGGAGGCTGCACTGAGCCAGGGCACCTAGGGTTTGCTGAGTGCTCCCAAATGCAGTGGGCCCATCTCTGCTGCCTGTGTTGTTCTCTGGCTCTGCTTCAGGAGAAGTTCAGAGCTGGGCTTACTGCGGGCAGCCCATGGGCTGCCCCGGCGCAGGGCTCGGGGCTGGACAGGCAGAGATGTGGCCCCAGATAAGGGCTGCAAAGGGCAGGACCAGCCCTGAGGTGCATCTCTGAGATCAGCTTCCTGCCCCTGCCTGGATGGGATTGCTCCCCTGGGCGGGTGAAAGCTTCCAGCCTGCGTGGGAGGAAGAGCCACATCTCCCCAGGGCTGAGCAGGGCCCAGCTGTGCTCACTTACAGTGTTGGCAGGATTCTCTGAAATGAACCTCTCGTTCAGGTCCTTGTAAAACACCATGAGGTTGGCAAGGTCCGTCCTGGGGGAAGCAGAACACAGGCAGAGGGTTAGTAAAACAATAACATGAAACATACTGAAAAACTATGCAAATAACCAGTTGGACCAGTAGGGCTGGGCTGCTCCAAGGGAGCTTTTTCCCCAATTGCCATCATTAGGGCTGCCGAGATTGTATCAGAGCTGGAGGTGCAAGGCAGGAACACACAGGGGGACTTACTTGTTCAGCTTCTTGTTGAGTTTTTGCCCTTTGTCCCAAGAGAGAACTCGAAGCATCCAGTCCTGGAGAACAGACAGAAAGTGCTGCTTTAGCTGTGTTTGCTTGTGCAGAGATCCCCCAGGCAGTGACTTATGCTCCACACCTCCTCAGGCCAGTGTGGGTACCAGGACTGAGTGTTTGTGACAGACCAGCTGAGCCCGAGGGGATCTCCCAGACCACAAGACAAACTCCAGCTTAATAGTGAACTCCTGCAGGGGAAGCCCTGACTTGGACACTACAGACTGCCCCTGGGAACAACAGCATGAAGTGCTGATGACCACTTCAGCACCTCCTGCTTCTGCACTGAATCTCTGGTGTTACGCAATGCCTTGTGCCAAGCTGCTGTCCCGGCAGAGCGCAACTGGGGACTGACCTCTGACACGGTGGATGGCCACTGGGCAATGCTGGTGGTGAGTGCCCACTCCTTGAAGCTGCAGAGAGAGGCAGGATGTCACTTGTAAGCTCCAACTCCCACACACACACAGCACTTTACCTCTGGTCACGGCCAGGACTTACCTGCAGGCGTCTTTGCAGATCTGCTGGCAGCCCAGCTGCTCCTTCACGAACTTCTCGTGCAGTCTGTAGTAGCAGTACACTGCAGGGAGGGAGTGGGACTGGTGTGAGAAGCCAGAAAGAAAAGCAAAGATCTCTTACCTGGGCTGGACTGGGGGGCTGGGGTGTAGGTGGCCTTTGTGGCCAATGCCTACATGGTGGGGATAAAAAGATTGACCTTGCAAATATTACAAAATACTCCGTGAAGTGGCTGTGGCATGAACAACTGCCTCACCTAGTCAAGCCCTCCACTCCACTGTTCTGTGGTGGGCATTGGTGACAAGCCATGAGGGCAAGTGTCACAAACCAGTCAGTGTGAACAAGAGGGGCACTTCTGGCCCTGCAGTGTGGGGCCTTCAGCGGGTTAAGGCAGATTTGCCTCATCCCAGCAAGCTGCATGGCTGGAGGGTGCAGGGGCTGTGTGACTGGGCTGATGCTGTGGAGGATGTGTCTGGCAGTGGTTGCTGAGGCACGTGCAGTGCAGGAGGTGTTTCAATACTCACTCCAGTTTGGGTTCTTCTTGTAGTTGCAGTACTCAGCCCCTGCGGGTAAGGGCTGCGCGTACTGGGCGCAGCCACACGAGTCCACCATGGCCTTCTGGAAGCAGGAGTGGAGGCAGATCTGGGGAGAACAAACAGAGCCAGGGGCTAAGAAGCAGCACCAGGGTCCAGGCTCCGGTGCATCTAAAAACATCCTGCTTGTGAGAGCAGCAGCAGAGAACCCCATTTCCCTGGGCTTCAGATTCCGCTCTGAGTGAATACAAACACGGGCAGAAAGTGCCATGGAGGGTTTAGGTTCTAGTGTAAGAAATAAGAATATAATCCTCTCTGAGGATTATATATATGGGGGAGTTGCGAATGCCCCCACTTCCCCTACACCCACCAAAGGTTTTGGTGTTTCAGTTGCTCTTTCCAGAGCCAAGGAGAAGGTTTTTGGCCTGCCATGGTACATGGCCCATGAATCACCAACTAGGTGTGGGAAGTGACTCACTGGTGAAAACGTTCACAGCTTCCACCAAACCGTGCTGGTGTCTATTGGGAGACCTGAAGCTGTGGGGATTAATAGGGGAGCAGAGCTGTGCTTTGTGCTAGAACACTGGAACACGCAGGAACTGAACTTCTCTTTGCAATCCCAGTCAAGCCTTTGGGTCACAGTCCCTGCCCTCCTGAGCACTGAGTTTCGGTGAAGTATTGTTATTAAAAACCTGAGATAATGTCTAGGTGATCCTAGCTGGCACCACATCACAGGACTAATACCCCATAAAATACAAATCCAGCCTAGGCCTGGGCTTTGTATGAGGCAGCAGCTAATGTAAGTACAACTCTTCAAGTGGAGAGTGCCAGAACAACTGACACTCTCCAAGAGGACCCAATTACAGAAACCATGCAAAATTAGTGGAAACTTACTCTGTAAACAAACATCCTGCTATCTGGATACTGATTAGATGGTATCTGTTACTCTTGGAGTCCTAAAGGTCACAATTTCTGGCTTCAAGGGTTACTAAGCTGCAACCTTTACTTGGCCAATATTTTCCAGTCTCACATTGCTTGAAAATTGCCTAATGAGCTCATGTTCTCTCTTTATCTAACAGGGTGCCTGAGGGAACTTCAAACAGCAGCCACTTAGGAATAAAAGTAGTATTTTAAGAAGTGCAGCGGCATTTTATATCAGTGGTTAAAGCAGTGACCCTGTGCCCTGTTCCCAATCTCAGATTCTGAACCACAGAATATTATAAAGCTTTTTATGCAGGTAGTTTTCAAGCAACTGATAAACCAAATGTAAGGGATTTACCTGGAGTGAGTAGCTCTTGTTATAGAGATTTTCTACAGGTATGTCATCTCCTGTCTCCGTGCAGTCACTATAGGGTTTGCTCAGCTTGCGAGACCGAGTCTGAGAACCAGGAAAACACAAATCTTGAGTCTATTTGAGTTCACAGAGAAACCAAAGGATTCAGTGGCACTTTGTCACAACTCTGAAACTGTAAGTGATGGGGCAGCTTTGAACAGCATGTTTACCTTTTGCCAGCACAAACGATTAGTCAATCCCTTGTCAAAACAAGTTCTTTTGTTTCTACTACCCATTTTCTCAAACACTGCTCTGGCTGGAACTCCTGCTGCCTTCCTTGAAACCTTCTGCAGGAACGTGGGTTAGTATAACCACAGCAGTGAGGATTTTTCAAAGCACAGTAATTTGTATGTGTGTTCTCTCCCAGTCCTAGAGGCTGTGCATCGTTTGCCCTGGATGTTTGTGTTGTGAGGGAAGGGGGTGTTGGCTGGGGGTTTGGGTTGTTCTCTGAAGACCCCCACCCTCCTGAGCTGTTGCCTGCACTGGCTGCTCCTGTGCCGTGGGTAAACAGCACTTGAGGCTCTCCTAACACTCAACAGCAGCTCTCTGAAACCACTCTAAATCAAATGTTTGTGTCTCCTTCAGGACTTTTACCAAGTGCTGCTTTGACCCTTCCTCTCAAATGCTAATGCCTTTTCCTGTTCTGCAATTCCTGCCCAGAGCAAAGAGCTCTGAAATGCCAAGTGCTGTGCCTGCAAGGTCTGTGAAACCAGAGCTGGGAGCCCTCAGAGTCCCAAGACCTGATTCCTGCTCCACTGCCTGCTTCCTGCAGACTGCCTCACCTCCCTCAGCCCTTGCTATCTTCCTGCAGCATTTATCCACTTTACTACAGTGTGTCCTGAAACCACAAGAAACATCCATTTAAAAGTCCATTTACCTGTCTTTCTCTACAGAGGTTAAAATTAGAATTAAAATTCCTATACAAAGGATCCATTTAGCAGGAACCTGAGAAATGCTGGTTCCTGCTCTAAGGCCTGACTGCAGTTCCTCAGGTCACACCTGACAGGAGCATTCCTCACCTCTTTGCAGTAAAAGAAGGCTCTAGGCCTGTATGGTGTGAGTCAGTGCTTTTAGAGATGCTCAAACCTCTCTTTGGAGGGAAAGATGTGATTTCAGTATTCAAGATGGATTACTTTTGAAAATCAAATGCAACAAGCTCTTAATCTACTTTTAACTTCCACACACACTGTTGTGCCAGGACACTGCCTCAGCCTTCTCCTACCAGCAGATGATCAATCCCTGTATAGAACTACCTCGTCGTGGCTTACACTCCTGCAAGAACTTAATCATTCCTTCAGGTACTGAAATAATTTCCAAACTAAATATTTAACTAAAGCACTGTAAGTCCGACCAAGCAATGCCTTGTTTGCATTCCAAACATCTTGGAATATTTTTAGAGGTGGGGGGGGCAGCCCTAGTACCCAGCAGTGAGTCCTAGTACCCATGAGCGATATGCTTGGAGCCCAGTGAGCAGCACTGTGTGTGACACACCTGCTCTGTGATCCTGGAGGTGGGCACAAGGCCTGATTTGTCACCTCAGTGCTGCAGCCCTGTCCTGACACTCATGATCCCCCGGGGCGGGCTCCCTGGAGTTTTCCTTTCCTGGCAGGACTGCAATCCCCAGCTTTTGTTCTGAGACCAGAAACTGTGTCCAGCTTCTATTACAGCTGCCACATAAGGATGCAATTGGATCCTTTCCTCATGCCAAATATTCTAAATACAGACACTGAGATGTGCCCAACCTTGTTTTTTATACTATAGCAACAGTCCAAACCTGCTGTGCCAGGAATATATTACATTAAATATCGAGACTCTGCTTACACTGACTGTCCCTGTACGGTGTGCTGGATACAAAGGAGATGATAGCCTTTGCCTCCTCACACTGTCCAGCTTCTCAAACCTCCCAGTCACCGTCTGACCAAGCAGTTGCTGCCACGGTTTTCCAGACAGCTGAAGACAGTTAACTATTTGCACATTTTAAAGCATCAGCCCTCTTTTAATGCCTTTTCTAATGCAGGGCTTATCGCGATGTGGCACACCCAGATAAGCAGAATGGCTGATGCTCTGACCGACCATCAGGAAGAAAGAGAGCCGAAGTGCTCACTTCACAGCCCATCCAGATGAAAGGGGACCGGGCACAGCTTTCACTGCTCGTTTGGTGGAAAGAAGCCCCTTGGGTCAAATGCCTTGTCTGAGCTACATTAAATAGCAAAACTGGGAATTGTAGCCCTCCTTGCCCTTGACAACAGCAGCGAGATGCTTCAGTATGCTGGCAAAGGTAGAGCTGCTGCCCACAAGGGTGCTTTTACTGCTCGAGAAACCCAGCAAAACGAGGCTGACACCCACAAAACAGTTAAATGGGTTGTGCTGCTGTCCCTACGGACCTGACCCCAACATGGGGACTCACAGCTCCTGCTCCTCCGCCCCGGGACCTGCGTGGGACGGAATTCACGCTCATTGCTAAAGCCAAAGGAGGCACTTCACAACCACAGAAATGTGTTGTCGATTTTGCTGTGAAAACAAAGTCAAAAATCCCCTGGAAAGCCAAGGGGTAGGAGAAAAGGGAGAACAAACAAAATCCCAGGAGCTGTTGGGTTTATAAAGACCTGATTTTCCCAGGGCCTCTTTTGTTCAGAACAGTGCTAGCACAGGATTTTCCTCAGGGCACTTCAGCTGCTGAGTGGGAGGTATTTAGAGGCCTTCCAGCTGCTGGCTCCCTGCAAACACCCCATCGGTTCCTACTGACAACTGTCCCAAGGTAAAGGTGCACCTGGAAAGGAGATTGCTGTCACTCACAAAGTGCATCCCTATGGAGGTGGCTGCTGCAGTCTCAATTTCCGTGCCGATGTCTTCAATGAAGGGATACTCGTTCTGGTCGTGGACAATGATCTTGGCTCCTGTGGATGTCACCAGGAAGGGGTTGTAGTCTGCTTCGTCGATGTACAGAACCACCTGCAATCCTGGTTCACAGAGACAAGGCAGGAGCAGTTACACCAGGAGCCAGAGCCATGCTTTCTGGTCAGGGAGGGTAGCATGGTTTATTTAATGTTATCTGGCCTTAAGCAGTAACAGCCAAGCACAGCCTCTGTCAGGCCAGACCGAGACACTTGCAGCCTTTAACATCCCTTGGCAGCCCCGAGTACAGCAAATAAAATCTGCTGAGAATGTGGCTGGAACTCACTTAAAAAGTTATATAACTGGGCAGCAGTAATTTCAGCTGGAAAACATTAGTGATGCAACGATATTATCTGTATTCTCCGGCAAGAGTTCGCACTAGTTCAAACAGGCATTTCCCCAATCAGCCTGTACATCTACAGCCAACACATCGCTCACACTCCAGCGGGATCCAGTTCGCTGAGCCGCTGGTTATCGAACAGCTCCTCTGCAAACCGCCTGGCACAGTGCGCTCCTGCAGGCCTCCCTGGGACACTGCTGCTGCAAACGTCCCGGGGACACCACACATGCAAATCTCTCCGGAACACCACACTCATCCAGACCTCCCTGGAACACTGCACTCACGCAAACCCTCCCAGCACACCACACTCCCGCAAGCCTTCCCCACTCACCGTACTCGCTGCCGCCCGTGGAGGTGCTCAGGACGGTGCCGTTCTCACCGCTGTTGAAGGTGTAGCAGTTGCCATGGAGAGGGTGATGGAAACGAGTGAAGTGCCTGGAAGAAACGAAATATTGTGACACTGTTCCCTGCAGTTGTGTCTGTGGGAGAAAAGCAGCAGGTTTGAGCTTGGTTTTGGCAGAGACAGGACAGCATGGGGGGTTTATTCTTTCTTTCCAAGCCATTTACTTTGCTGAAAGGTGTGTCTTTTGGAATATCTTGAAACTACACGGCAGTGTGATCTGGTTTAACAGATCAGGAAATGGAAAGCTGAACAGGTTTTCCTGTGGGAATAGGGGCTGAGAAGGTGGGGGAAGCAGATTCACAGAACCAGCAGGAAGAGGGGGACACAGAGCCCTGTCCCAAACGACAGCCAAGTGTCTCCAGGCACATGAATGTTAATTTTTCAGCAAAGCTGCCCTAGCCCCTGTCAAACTCCAAAGCTGAGGACACACCCATGTGATGCAAGCAGACTCATGTGTGTCCTGAGCACATCCCTTCCCACTCCAGCAAATCCCTCCATTCCAGGGAAGGATGTTCTGCACTGGCACCTTTACAGACCCGTGCGAAATGCCTCCGCAGCACAGCAGGCTCTGCCCGTGGTGAACCTCTGTGCAGGTGCAATCCCATCCCCACAGCTGCTGCCCTGGGATGCAAGGATGACTCTCCTGCTACCAGGACACACAGGAATTGCACTGCCACAATCACAGGCAGGTAGATTTGATTCTGCTGAGGATAAACACATGTCCATCTGAATTGTGGACAGCAGACCACTAAGACAAATAAAATTAAAGAGCATAATTAAAGTAAGGGAAGATCCAAATATTTGCTTTTATTTAAGAAATGGAAGTGGTTCCTGCTGGAATTCAGCAAATACCAAATATTCCATTCCTACATATTATGGACTTGGAAATAAGCTGTTCAGCTGGCAGGAATTCTCTGTGCACTGACCTTTTGTCACAAGATAGGCCATCAAAAAAACATGTCAAGAGAAGGTCATCAGCAGAATAACTCAATTTTTCTTTAGTCTCCAGGGGAATTTGTGCCATGATGTTCATGTAATGCAGCTTGTACCACTCCTGGATGGCGTTGACACCCGAACTGAAGGTGTACAGTGCACACTGACTGCTGTTGTTCGTGTCGCACTGATGAACACAGAAGGGAAAAAGTGCTTCAGATGGAATGAAATCATGGATTCTCCAAGATATGCGTGACTTAGGGGTTTTATCTACAAGGTATGTGTGAATAAGGGGTTCTACAAGGTATGTGTGTTTCTCTTCCACAGAAATAACCACACATGAAGTTACAGTGGCACAAAGGGGCATCAAAGACCTTCCATTCAGGGATAAGTGATATGACCAAATATTTCAGGCCCAAAGGAAAGGTCACGGAAGGCACTAACTCTATTTGGGAAGATTTCAGGAAGGTATTTCTCTTCCAGAGAGACAGAGGGGAATCTGCATCAGCCATGGAGGCTTGGGCAGAAGAAGAGCAACTACCTGAGCAGGCAGTAAAATCAGACAGAGGGACCCTGACCTGAAAGAGCCCTTAGTTGCCCCAGAGGGAATTTGGTGGCCAGGGCACAATGGCACTTACCAGCTGAAAGCCAATGATGTCATTGGAATCACCAGAGTTCACGATGGATGAGTCCTTGTGAAAGACACTTCCCTCTATCTTCCTCTTCTGCCCAGTGTGCAGGTCAGTTGCTGTCCTGAAGAAGTCCTCGACCTTCAGCAGAGGGATCTGCTCGAATAAGTCGCTCCCTGTGCTGTTCCACTCATCCACTGACCGCCGCACCTTGGACTTGCCCTCGGAAAATCCATAGAAAGTCTCCAAGGCTTTTTTTGTCTCTTTGTCCAATTCAGATAAATATTCTTTCATGGAGCTGTACCTGCATGGGAGGCAATGTGACAGAGTGACACCTCGTCCCACGCCAGTGCCCAGCTGCAGTGCTCTGCTTGCTGCACTGGGATCCCAAGGCTCAGGACATAATTCCCTGTGCCAGTCTCACATCGATCGTACATAGGTGAGGGCAGACACAGCTATGTCCATGGGGAGATCCTTGGAGCAAGACCACAGGAAGCAGAACAGACTGAAAAACAGAGAAAGCCCTCCCAAGACTCCCAAGCAACTCATGTTGGGAAGATTTAAGGAGGCAGAGCATGTGGAAGTAAGACTTAAACATCTGTGAAGAGGCACGGGAGAGCTGGATGGCCTGTGGGACCAGGGTGGGGAGCTGGCAGCAGAACAGATATCACATAAGTGTGATTTGACAGGAGGAAAAGTATTGTTGATGGATAACGCCAAAGCATCCCATAAGGAAAGAGAGAGGCAACAGAGGAGTAACAGATGTGCCCTTTCCATCCCACACGAAATGATGCTGTCTGTAATCCTGAAACTTTGGTCCTGGGAAGAAGGGAATTTGAACAGACCACGGAGCTGGCCAGGAACAGGTGTGGGTGCGAGTGTAACCCACATGTGTCTGAAGCACATCGGCACAGAGGTGGATGTGGCACTCGGGGTGCCGTAGAGGGAAAACCCACGGTTGGGAGAATGCTGACAAGCAGCACCGGGACAAGCCTGGGAAGAGGTTTGGTGCTGGGCTGATGGGAGACGATGGACAGAATACATCCCGTCAGGAACCTCCCCTGTCCTGCGACAGCCCCACGAGCCTTACTTGTAGGGGTTGATGTTGCAGATGGTGACGGCGGGGAAGGGCAGCTTCTGGAACTGGACGGTGACGGAGACCGAGGCGCTGTAGTAGTTCATGAGCAGCTCGGCGCACTGCCAGAGGATGAGCCCCACGGCGCTGAGGGTCAGCAGGATCCAGAGCAGGCGGCGCAGGCGGCCGCGGG